ATATATATATATAAAATATATTTGCCAGACATGGAGACACAACACTTGTAATTCCAGAAACTTTAGCAGCTGAGGCAGAAAAATTGCAGGTTCAAGGCTAGCCTAAGCAATCTCATAAGACCCTATCTCAAAATTAAAAAAAAAAAAAAAGAAAAAGAAAGGACTGGGAATGTATCTTAGTTTAAAGTGCTTATGGGTTTGGTACCAAAATAAATAAGCCAACAACTTTCCTTGTTTTATCAACTTGGGTGATTTTCATTCTTTTCTCTTTACTTTTTTGATTAAGTGTTCTTACATTGTTAAGGTTATTAAAATAAATACACATTTTGTTTTTGTAACTCTAATAAATTTTATATACTTTAACTGAAGTTGATTTTATATAACTCATTGCAGAGGCAAGTGATGGTCCCAGATTTACACTTTTGTTATTCTCCATCAATTCATCAATTGGTTCAAATCACACAATTTAAAAAAAAAAAAAAAAACCTGCAAATGGGGAAGAGAAGGGAGACCATTCAGATATGAAATCTTCAGTTAACGTCCCAGTTTTTGGCTGAGTTTTCTCTGCCTGTTTTAGTACATGGCAACTATCCCAGCTGCACAGTATGGGAACAATTGGACAGTACCCCATCCGCTTTGGACATTCTGATAATTTGTTGGTGTGTCCTAGTCTCTGATTTCTTTTTGGCGGGGGAGGTGGGGGGGGCGATGCGTGCCGGGAATTGAAATCGGGAGCACTTGACCATTGAGCCACATCCTGTTTTGTATTTTATTTAGAGACAGGGTCTTACTGAGTTACTTAACTTAGCATCTCACTTTTGCTGAGGCTGGCTTAGAATTCTTGATCCTCCTGCCTCAGCCTCCCAAACCACTGGGATTACAGGCAAGCACCACTGTACCCAGCTTCTGATTTCTTACTATCAGCTTTGTTGTTGTTGTTGTTGGCCTAAATTTAATTCTTTTTATATAGTTATTTTCTTTTCTTCTGTTAGTTTATCTGCTCAGTATGCCATCATAAAATAGAAATCCTCGCCTGTTCTTTTTTACTGTGTGTGTTATCAGGGAACTGGAGCTAAATTAGGATTCCCTTTATAATATTTTATTCTAAAAGCTGTAATGGAAGAAAACTATTAAAAATAAACTTTAGTAACTAATGTGTTAATTCACTAAATAATTTATAAGGCATTAATTATTGTTCTGTTTTTCAGAAATAGTGGGAGCCCAGAGTGTATGAGATGTCTTCAGAGACTCATCTAACTCTGTTTATAAAGTCATCGCATATATGAAAATGACCCTAAATAAACATTGTTATGATCTGTATAAAATGTAAATTAGTTTGACACTGCATTTTTGGTAGGTGTGCTAATTTCTGCCCATGGCAGTTTAAAACATCAGAAACTGAATTTTGGACAGATTTAAGCCTTGGTATATACTGTGGCTGTTCTTTGTTTTTTGTTTTTTCTCTTTTATGGTCTTGATTTTCTTCTCATTGTGATGTTTGGTAACGTTAAATTTAAAATGTAGTTTTAAATAAAGTTTGAACTTATCTGTAAAATATTTTTTGGAAATTATGTTGAATTCTCTACAGCAAATTGCTGTTCTAGGTAATAGGAGGCAATTGAGAGAGAGCAATGGCTCAGAATTAGAGAAATATATTATTTATAAAGCCCAGCCATTGGGCCAGTCTTCCACATACGCCAGTGTTTCTGCTATTGGATATAGTTAATATTCTTTAAATACCTGCAGGTCCTATTCCTCTATATAAACAAAGCAGGACTAGGGCAGCAGGTCAGTCATAATATGGTTCCCTATCATTCACAGATCCTAGGTTTGATCCCCAGCAACACACACACACACACACACACACACACACACACACGAAGAAAAGGAAGGAAGAATAGGACAGATTATAAATGTATCCAGGATATCTGTGAAATTATCATAGAATATATGTTAGTAATCTATTCAAATTGCATAAGTTTAGAATATATGTGCTTACTACCTAGAACTTAAATACTTATCTATTAGATGAATATTTTCCAGAATTGCAACTCCTATCTATATTGCCTCAATCTGGATTTTAAAGTTAGTATTTCTGCACAGTCAGTAATCTTCTGGTTAATTTTAAATGAAAAACCAAATATTTTCAAGTAGGGATAAATAAAACTAAATTTATGTAATACAACATTAAGATTCTTGTCTTTTGAGATAATAATTTAAGACAAAAATCTAGTGGTTGATTCTGTGTGTAGTAAGAAACAGGTTCACAGGTGAAGTATTAAGAAAATCTATGTGACTTCTTTATCACTAAGTAAGCCAAGTTTTAAATGGTGATTTATTGTTTTATCCCATACTTGCCATAGACACAGAGATGTCAAAAGATCCAGTTAATCTTATAGATTCTTCCTTGAGTAAAATATGAAGAATATGAGGAATTAATTCTTTGTTCCAAGTAGTCTTTAAATCATTACCAGTGGTCTAAAATACTTCATAATAAAAGAATTAGCTTGGTATTCCTTTAAAATTCTTACTTGCTTGATATCTTAGTGTCAAATTAATCTGTAACATCTAACAAAGGAACACTAATTGAGAATTTCCCTATAAGGAAATTTACTCTGTTTATGTTTAATTTGAATTGTGTAAGACATATCTCCAATTTTATAAGACCTATATGGAAAACTATCAGTTCAGAGTCAGGATTCTTATCCAGTTGTACTGACTTAAGGGCAATTGGAACAATAAATTACTTTATATGTATATTCAGATTCTGTATTTTCTTGACTCTAATCAGGAAAGGAGAAAAACTTCATTTTGGTTCTCAAGCCAAGCCTTACATATTGCAGCTGTCTTTCTATGTCTGCATGCATATTAAGGACAGAGAGAGCAGAAGAACTTTCTGCTATCACCGTGGTACCTGTGAACCTTATCAAACTATCTTTTGTTATAGCTCATAATCAATCGGGTGTTTTTTTTTCTATTTTAGTAGGTGTTTTAGTTTTTAAATACCCAGGCTTGAGAGCAGATAAGTTGTTTATTGTTTTCCCTAGCATACTGTTGGTAAAGGTTTAGGCATTTATTATTCCTCTTTGTCTGAAAATTTAAATTAAAACTTTGGTTGGAGATAGAGGGGGGAAATGTCAAATGAGTGTGAGAGAACCCTGTGCAGGTTGAAATAATGCCTAAAATGATGAGCTAGCCAGTCTGTGGAGATACTCTTCGTATTTTGTAACATTCACTTTGGGTAAATGCTTTTTCACTGTTAATAAATGTAAATCCTACATACAACCCTGAATTGCATTTTTATTTAAATTGACACACTCATGTATGCTTTAGAGTTTATTGCAGAACCGGCTTATTTGACAGTGTTTAATGTAGAAAAAGAAACAAAAATCAGGACATAAAAAATGACACACTGACTAGCCAGAAAGATTTATTCAGCTTGAGACCACTGGTTTCACAATGAGCATATGCTTTATTTCTTAGTTAACATTTATTTTACATACTATTTTAAGAATGTAAATGTCGGATATGATATATAAATAATTCAGTGTGGCCAAAGGAGGAAATGAGTATGAGATATAGAAGGAAGCTTTTTATGCTCATAGGTCCCAGTGAAGGTGTTGGCACATGCCAGTCAGGAGGCAGAAGACAGGAGCCAAGGGAAAACCTAGCTTAATTACCTTTCTGGGGAGAAACATAGCAAGGAAGAGAACCCAAGAAAGAAATAATTGGTTCATCTGGACTTGGTGAATAACAGTTTAGAACTGGCTAATTCCATAATTCTCTTGGAGTTATTGCATATTGCAGCTATCTTTCTCAGAATGCATATTAAAGATGAGGCAATGTGTGAACTATATTTCCCTTCTGTGTAGAATTTAGAGTTCAGACTATAGGAATATACTCATTTTCTGGTACCTTGATCAGGGATCGTATTAAACAGGGAAAATACTGGCTTGTGTGTGGGAGTTCCATAAGATGGTTGAGGCTGGGCTGGGGATATATCTAAGTTGGTAGTGTACTTGCCTCACATGCACAAGGCCCTGGGTTCAATCCCCAGCACCACCAAAAAACTAAAATAAAGGTGGTTGAAGCTATAGACCATCAGAGTGCTTGGTTTGCATATCAAAGATGTGCTCCTGGCCTAGAGGAGAGCTTGACCCTTTGGGCCTGGTCTCTCTCTGATCAGCAAGCTTTTAAAGTTGTCAAAACAATAAAATCGGGAAATAGCACAATCAATACATAACACTTTGTGAACTTTCTCATATTTACTCAAAAATTGACTTATTTCTTGTCCAGCTTACTTTACTATATAAACACTTCATCTGTCAAGAAGATAAGGAGTCTGGATTTCACTATATATTTCACAAATAAGATTGCACAGTCAGCTTGACTGGAACAGCAAGCATTTCCTGTTGTGGTTCTTATGCAACTCTGATTGTTACTCTAACATTCCCTGTCTTTACATGTCTGGTTTCCACCTCAGACTCATTTCATGTTTAGGTTTATTTTTCATTTCAAGTAATCTTTTTTTTTTGGGGGGGGGTGTTTTATATGGTATTAATATAAGGATAATTTTATTTCCCTCTTACATAAAAGTTCAGATAGCACCATTTGTTGAAAAAAAAACCTGTCTTTTCCATATTATCATTTTTGTGGAAATTGATTATATATGTGACTATCTGGAGTCTTTATGTTCCATTGAATTATATATCTAAAATCATTATCTTGACTACTATAGCTTTGTAGTAAAAATCTGGAAATTAAGTCGTCTAAGTATTTGTTCTCAAAAATATTTGGCTATTCTATGTCCTTTGCAATTTTGAATTTCCAATTTTAGGACCAGCTTGCTAATTTTTACAAACCAGAAACCTGCTGGGATTTTTATTGGAATTGCATTGAATATTTAGATCAGTTTGAAGGAAATGGAATTGTAAACAGTATTGAGTTTTCCAGTTCGTGAACATTGTAGGTGTTCATTTAGGTCTTCTTTTGAGTCTATAGAAATTTAGTTGGACAGTATTTTTTCTCTTAGCAATGGATAATGTCCATTCATTATTTTTTGGCCTGCATATATTTTTTTCATGGAAACTAGATACTCTTTACTAGTTAATTGAAATAAAAAATTGAAGATCCTGCATTTTTTAAAAGCCCTTTACATAAAGTAGAACTTATAATTGAGTGATCAGTATCAATTGGACACACTATGGATGCAACACAGATGAGATTTCCTCACACCACTTCCTTGATATTGATTTGATACCCTCCTTCAAAAAAAATCCTATAAAGTGCTTCAAAGCTCCTTTGAAATTGCAATAGTGCAGTAAAACCACAAGTGTATGTTATTTCAAATATAGAGTAAAAAGCCAATAGGCATTTTTTGTGTGCAATTTATTTAAAACAAATCATAAGTTGAAATATCAAATCTGCACAAGGCTGTCCCTTCATAGAAGCCAAGAAACTGTCCACGCATCAGGTCGGAGGCCATCCTGGGTGCTGTAGGCTGTGAAAGTGGGCTTCATCATCAGGGTCTGGCTGATGTGGAAATAAGGACCTTGCCACAGCGCAGACTGCTGGCCATGGGCTGAGGGGTTTTAGGGCTGGATCCGGGCATGACCTGGTTTAAGCCGCTCTCTGGCCCCTTGGCCCTGTGAGGAATGTTGGTGCTACTGCTGCTGCTGCTCCCGCTACTGTCACTGCTCGGACTCGTGTCCTAGGAATCTTGAAAGACAGGGTTTCTACTACTCCTTTTGGTCTGTGGGGGCAGAGGGGAGATGGTTATCTGCTTCATCGCCATTTCTTCTTTTCCTGGGGTAGAGGCGCTAGCTCATGGCAGCTGGTGGAGGGGAGCCAGGCGTTATAGAGGGGGTTGTGTTCTGGCGGCCGCCACGCCCATCCGCTCTTCTGCCCTGCCTTCTGGTGGACGCTGCAGGCTGTGAGAACCCTTCCTACCCTTCCATCCGGCAGTACCCTGGCCTACATTTTTTTTTTTTTTTAAGCGAGAAGTCTGCTGGCATTATTATTCTCTGTGCAATGTATCTGACTGCTTTTTTTTTTTTTTAAACAGAAATCAGGAATTTATTAAATATTTGCATATGTACATTTAGGCTAGAATCTGACTGCTTTTAAGCTTGGCTCTTTTAAAAAAAAAAATTTATATGTTGATCGACTTTTATTTATTTATGTGCAGTGCTGGGAATTGAACCCACTGCCTCACACATGCCAAGCAAGCGCTCTACCACTGAGCCACAACCCCAGCCCTAAGCTTGGCTCTTGAGCTTTGGGTTTCTAGTTTCTGTCAAATTTGCTTCACACACTCTGGTAATTCTTTATC